GTATGTCAATCACAATATAAAAACAACTCAACACAATAATAATGTATATTTGTTATTTTTTCACCTCTACTTGTTGACTGATGATTAGCTTTGAACTACAATTCATATATGAAATATAAATTAAAAAAAAAACATTACAAAAACGAGACACTTTACCAATAAAGAATCTCATCTATTATGACTCATCATCTATAATCACTGCTTGGATAGCTACATTAATTTCATTGAATTCTAAATTTCTTGATTTTTTTTGTATGAATTATGATAACTCATTTGTAATACCAAACATATTGGCCATTAAATGCATTATAAGATAAAATCAAAAGATTTCATTGAACTGATTAAAATGCCATTTCAGCTGACTGTATATCATGTACCACATTCTCCTTTACGATCTTAAGTACTTCAATCAAGTTGTGTACATATTTGTGAGAATAATTAAAGTATGAAAATGTGAGTTTCGATGGGGTTCAACAGATTGTTGTAAAGTAGTTTCTTGATTTAAATCACGAACACTAAATAAATCTCTAATTTTAAATACAAAAAAAATTCTCATGTTGAATAGCTTTGAGAGCATTGTTCCTCTTACAAGAAGCTCATACTGTATTAAGAATTTTTGAAGTAAACTCAAAAAGATATTTGACTTGCCAATGTATTTTTCTTGCCACTGTTACTAAACATAATTGAAGTTGATGAGCAAAATAATGAACATAATATGTTTGAGGATTGTCATGAGAATAAGTGTTTTAAAGTCATTAAACACACATCGCATATTAGATGCCCCATCATAGCCTTGGCCACATATTCTATGCAAGTTTAATGAATATTTACTAATATAGATTCAAGAGCTATCATGAATGTATCTACATTTATTGAGGAAAAATATTTGATGCCAACAAATCTTTCAATAACATATCCTTTTTTATCAACATATCTCATCGCAACAACAAGTTGTTACAACAGCAAGTTGTTCCTTGATTGATACATTATGAGACTCATACCCCATAATAGAAAAGTATTAATCATATATATATATATAATTTATTTATGCCTTGATTTTAACCAAAATATGTTTGGTATATTTGATTAAGGTATGATTATTTTTTAAAATGCTCATAACACTTAGATGTTGTTTTAAGTGTTTTAAAAAACATGTTTATTTTTTTTTAGAAAAAAGTTAAAAACACATCAAACAAACTTGTTTTTAAAAACAAAGGAAAAAATAAAAATAGAAAACTAAAGTGATCCCAAAAAAGCCCTAAGTTTCCTTCAATTATGTATACATTTTTTGTGTATTTGATCATAGAAATTATTTTTATACTCGTACTTAAAATATTAGTATAGAAACTTGCAAAAAAAAAAAATGTTAAACAATAGCTCATATTAGATTTGTGATTGTCAAAAAATATTGTACCAACTTGAAATCACAGGTTAATAATAAGGATTAATAATAAAAATAATAATTATTATTATTCGCTTTCACATATCACCATTGCCATTAAATTTATCCTTATGGACTTTTATTAAATTTTATCAATCCTAATAAAGTAGTTAATGATGGTGATGATATATGCCTACATGACTCCTAATAAAAGTATATTCTTTGATTAATCAATTAAATTGCAGGGCAATTACAATGCATAGCACCTGAAACATTGCTATTAACAAATCCAGCATTCTCTTTCATTTATTTTTCAAATTTTCTCTTAGATATAAAAATTTATGATAAAACACCAACCCAAATTTAGGGTGTCGTTGTTTCGGTTTTTCGGCTGGAGCTTTGGACCGCGTTGGTGGATCCCATGTTTAGTGGATTGCAGTTAAAACTACAACACAAAATTTCATAATATTATAACTATGGCTTGTGTCTCGCGTTTTGCATTCCACCTGCGCTTTTGGATGCATCGCACCCGCTCTAATTATTGCAGTGCCTCGGTGTTTGGTTGATGACACCCTTTCTTAGATCTCAGTAGAAAATAGTTTGATCGTTTGTATGGGATGGGCAAGATGATCATTTGGTTGTGGGATTGCTGTGGTTTTCAGCTAGTCATTGTTTACTATGGTATCATGTAGGTACAAATAAGCAAGTTCTTGTAGAACATTTAACATTGAGTTTACTTTTAAATTTCTACTTGTTTAATAAAGTATAATTGAATATGAGCATATTGTTATTTTAGACATTTATCTATAGATAACACTTCCAAAACCGAGTTTTCAAATAGAATTACTATGTCTTGAACAACAGCATTTAAACAACAGATTTTTCACAACAACTTTTAAACTGAGTTTTTATATAACTCCATCTAAAAAAACACGTCGAAAACACACCCGATACACCATCAACAAATTTCCATCATCTGAGACAAATTTTGAAGCGCGACTCTGATTTCAAGGTAAATTTATGTTCAAACTTCTATTAAAAGTCATCCAAGACTTTGATTTTGACAAACTTACGATCAAAGTGGTTGGCTCAATGAGACGACTCAATGATATTGAAACAAGCCTAATCTGAGTCAAATCAAGCCTTTAAATAACCTTTGGAAGCTTTCCAAGCAAAATTGGAATATCAAATGGATTTTGAATCCGATAAGCTTATAGTTAGATCGAGCGTCTCAATAAGACAAATTTAAGAAGCCTAATATCGTTTAATTCTAACGTCATTAAGGAACTCAAATGTACATCAAATGACATTCGATCAAGTGGATCTCTACAAACCATTCGATGGAGTGGATCAAATTTCTTCCTCATTTGCAGAGAGGTCTATCCCGGACTTTATAAATAGAGCTCTCCCTTTATTTGAGGAGGGGAGGTGATCCCGAGCAAGAGTAAGATCAGAGCTTGGAGAAAAGGGAGCTAAAGGTTAAGACCCTTCGCCGATAATTAGACAAACACCTTCTGCCCTACAGCCTCCAACTATCACCGACCACAGCTCATCGGTCGCCGCTCACTCCTTACGATAAAGTATCTCGTGAAGCATAAAATGATGTCATGGAATAAAAAAAGCAACAGTTAAGCAACGCATTATCTCAAACATCATACTAACCTATAAGATTCTGCAACAAAACACCTCACATATGGTGCAACGACGCCTCCCAAAGATGATCTAACATTGCTCCTCAAATACAATGGAACGACACTTCTGTTGCTTAACAAAGTTGTTTCTAGATTTTTGGTTGAAGTAAAACGTAGCTTTCTACTGTCATTTTTAGATGTAACTTTTATCACTTCTTCATTATGATTCACAAGAAAATGAAACAATTCTAAATTATTTCTCCCAAACTACTGCAAATCTCCAAATTGTCGCAGGCATTTGTTGGAGAAGAACAAACCTGTGAGCCTACCAATGACTCCAAGTAAGACAAACCAAAATAAATTGGGTAGAAATGAAAGAAAGAAGAAATCATTACATCTGCATATCAACAATGACGCCTGTAAGATACAAGTTTCTCCTTAGAAATATTATTAATATACTTAGTTCTATATTGTTTTTGGGAAATCTTAGTGTAAATATTTTTCTACCTAAAAGGTTGCGTCTAGAGATAACTAAAATATGCTTGATGACGACATGATAAAAACAATAATGACACATGCCTTACTTGAGAAGCAATCAAAATTTTTGAAACGATCTCAAAAATAAATTAATTTAAGGTGATTCTTGAAGCATGGATCAAGATAACTACAATGACACATTAGTAGAAAACATGTCAATGTTTCAATCCTTAAGTTAGCACTGCCTTAAGCCAAATTATATGAGAAGGCAAATGAAGAGGATTTTGAATTATTGTCATAAAGAACCACCACAATCAACAAACCAAAAGCATAATAATTCATTCAAAGACAATGAGAAAAACAAAACTAATTTGCAAGCCTCACCAACATGTGAAGAATGGGCAAAACCTATGAGATAGAAATGCTTATGTTGAGTATAAGTTTAAAACATCCTATAAACAAAGTGCATTGCATCATCCAAGGACAAATAAAGTTACAAATTCTGTAAGTTTTTTATAACACATACTATAATTAAGTGCTCCAAGAAAACTGACACATTTTAAAAAAATGTCAATCTATATACTAGAACAAGCCAAAAAGATTCATGAACTTTCCCACAAAATCCTGAATCAAATAGAAGAATTAAATCTAAGTAGTTGACTGGCTGCAATAATAGGGATTCTAAAAGGAGTGTTTTCTTCTTCAATATTTTCGGGAGGAACTCAAAAAGGAAGTGAAGGGTCAGCTCAAAAGTCTTTGTATGATGATTGGATTGTCATTGCCTTCCCAACAATCCTTGCAGGTCTGCAAACCATGAGAGGGAGAACGAGTAAGGCTCCGTGCATTTGAAATTTATTTTCATATATATTTTGCTAGCACATATCAAATTGCTATATTGTTGCATGAGGAGATTAATTCTTCTATTTTTTTTCTAATACAATAATTTTAACAATTTATGCTCTATTATGAATAATGTTAATTGAATACTCTTAATCAAGCAAGTGAGAAATTGTAGCATGGTCTTTAAGTGATATTAGGTCCACTTTTTGTTGATATTGCGTTGATTGAGAGCGACTTTGAGCACATTTTGGAGACTTTTAAGTTTTATGAATTGTTTATCTTGCTTCCTCTTTGCTATCTTTTTATAATATTAAAATAATAAAGTTTAGGGGCAATTACACAAAGACCAACATAACTTGCTATTTATAAATCTACCAATCTCTTCCATATATTTTTCAAATTCTCATTCACATATCAAAATTCATGATAAAATCCCTATTCATTTTGATCAAATTCTCAATAATTTGATCATGACACAAGTAAAGTTCCATAGCTCACAAAAATAGTCAAAGTGATTAATTTATTAATATCAATGTTTAGGAAGACCTCTATGCAATTATCCCTAATTTTTTATATCTAATACTTTGAATGGTGTAGGAAGCAATAAATTTGATCCCCAAAGGTCTTCTATCTTAGACTTCTTGACAAAATTCAAATGTCTTGGAAGGACACGTGTCATGATAAAATTCGGGAATAGTGTCCATATTTTCTCGGGCAATTTGGTTTCTTGCTTCCTGCACAGCTCTGCTCTTGCTCGATCTGCTTGTGAAGGCCGAGTGATCCTCATCTCTTCGTTTAGGGCTTTCTCCGTTGGCTTTTGGGGCCTCCAATTCCTTCAATAGGCATCTCTCCGAGGTTTTTGTCGAGCATTAGGGTTTCTGGATCCTGATACAAGCTAGGTTTCGGCAAAAGGATCGGCTTTTCTCTGTTATATATTTTCTTCAACTTAGATTGAGGCTGAAGATCATTTTGTGTTCGGAGTTTGGTGAAGCGGTGGAGAAATCAACCTGTCAATGTTGTTCTGAGGCAGTTTTGGGCGCTTCTGATATATTTTTTTTATCGGGCTGAAGGGGTTAGGGTTCAATGTCTTGGTCGGGCGCAGAAGATCTTTTTCTGTCCACTTCCCTCGCGAGCTATCTTGACAGTAATATACATTTTTCCTTTCCCTAACACTGCCAGTACAACGTATTTAATAACTCACTGTGGCTATTGAATTCTAGTGGATAGATTCTGTCTATATTTTTAGAATTTTGTGAAAAATCTTATTTTTCTGTGATAGTGATATTCTTTTTTATTGTTTTAGCAATGAAGTGGTGATGGGTAGCTCAGTTTACCTTATTTTTGTTGCATAATATATTTTCTCTATCTCATTTGGCTTTGATATTTGAAAGGAAGAAAGGCAGTGTTTTGTCATCTTCCATGTTATGTATGGGCTGAATGTTGGTCGAATTTCATACTAACCTGATTTTTTTTTTCTCTTAGCCATATTGCTTCCTTTCCTTATGTATGATCTTAACTGTTAGAATATGTTTGGTTTGAAGGGATTGAGGAAGTGTAAATTCAATTTGCTTCATAATTTCACATTCGGTGTTTGGTTTAAATGTAATTTAAAAGTAATGGGATTTGCCTACAAAAACTTGAGGCATGCACGTTTTAGTTGATAATTCTCTAGCTATGCCTAGTGAAAATGAGAAGTGAATTTTGTTAGATTATTATTATATTTCACATTCTGTCTTTTAAAAAAAAACAAACTAGCAATTTCTTATCAATCATGAGAATAAAAATTCAATTCCTCAATCAAACTGGGTGAAAACTAATTTAAACTCAATTTTTTTACTTTTTTTTAACATTTATTCTCTCCAGTAGTGCTTCAAAAAGCTTCAAAACTGGTGTGGTACATTTTGTTGATTTGTAGAATCAGTAGCTCAGTAGTTGTAGCTGCAGGAGGAACTGAGTACAAACTAACTCTATTATTTTTGAGAAACAAAAACTTTGCGATTGCTCGAGCTGAGCTGCTTCTTATAATAGGGCACACTATTCTTGTTTATGTTCGTGAATAAATTAGTTGAATTCATGAAATGGAGGTAATGAAGAACATGTTTCCGGATGTTCATAATTCTCCTCTTTGTTGTTTGCTACATGGTTTTTTCTTACTGTAAATGACTCTATGGTATTTGATTTTTATTCTGTTGTATTTACTGAGTGTCAGCCAATATATGTTAACATTCACTAGGGTTGATATCAAGTTGAGTTCGAGCTTGTTTGATCGAACTCAACTTGCTCAAAATAAAATTATTTGATTCCAACTCTATTTAAACTCAGTCGAAATTGCCATCATTTCAACCAAACAGACTCAAATTGAAATAATTTTATCTTTAGTCAATTTGTATTTATTTTTTAAACATTTAAATGCTATAAATATAAACATTATATAATATACATGATTTATATTTTATGAAAATACTCATCTCAATCTCTATTTTGAGTCAAGTAAAATTTGAGATAGTTTTGAGTTTCAATTTTTTTCTACGAGTGCCATCTAACCTTTGTTGAAGCATGAAACTCTTTATCATTATTAAGCACGTAATTAACTATTCAAAAACTTGATGTTATTGATGCCTTTGTTCCTTAGATTGAATTTAATCCATGTTGCAATTAAATGGTTAAATTTCACCAGTACCGGCTACCCTCTTATCTTTAACTGCATGAATATGGCACAACACCCAAATTTTTACTATATTATTGATAATTAGTTTTGTGGTTGCCTTTGTATTGATCTGTCTATTTTATGTTTGATGATCAGGGGATGCTAAATTTACTTTTTCTGCATCTGTGCATATGCTTTGAAAATTGATTCAAGAGGCTTATCTTTGCAATTATGTTATTTTAGTACAATTTTTTTTTTGTTTCCAAAATGTGGCTACGACCTTTTCATTGTTTCTTGTTTCTATCCTACACCTAACATTACCATATGCACAGCTCATTTTTTCCCTCATTTTCTTTGTTATGGAGTTGTGCATTCATACTCTTCATGTAGTTGTCTAACTTTGACCTCTTTTTATTCACACATGATAATGATTGTCTTAATGTTTCAGCAATGGTAGTACATTCTGACTCATTTAATTTCACTTGTTTTTATAGTATGCTTTTTAACTTGGTTTCCTAATTTTTTACGAACTACTAGGTTGGTGTATTGCTTTGGTGCTTTTTATGTCTCAATCATTGATGAAATTTTAACTTGATGAGTATAAGGCTCTTATTACATTTTCTTAATTTTTTTTCATCAATATATTGTCATAAGAGCTGTTTGTAATAAGAGAAAATTGAAAATATTTAAATTTAAATAATATAAATGCATTGAAATGGGCTATGTTATATGAACTCATGTTTTTTGCAACATAGAAGTCAATGATGATCAAGTTGTGCTTGGTTGAAATGAGAATATCAAGATAGCTTTATGGTAAAACTGAAAAGCAAGTTCAAATTCATTATTGTAGAAAGATAGTGACATTGGCGTCTCATGAAGAACATTATTACCGTTTTCCCATATTTTGGAATCAGTTTCATGGATCATCCCTATTTTTGCATCCTAGTTGAGTTCTATGTATAATATTAGTATTATTTTTTGCAAGTTTTCTTGCACTCCTTATATTTATCTTATGTTTGGTTGACCCTCACATTCCTTCCTAATTTTTTATTTTAGCTCTAATTACCTATTTTTGTTTTTTTTTTTTTATTGTGACTCTAAATAGGATGCAATGGAGAAAAATGATTCATGTAGCCGACCCCATGTAGAGGGATTAAGGCTTTGTTGTTGTTGTTGTATTTTGTATTTACCAGATTGTCCAAACTATTTTTCAATACCATATGCTCAGTTTCACTTATCACTCTAATATAATTAACTCTCCATTTTTCCTAGTTTTATGACAAATCTATCTTTATATTCTTGTTTTTGCGGCACTTAATTTTGTTGTGAAAGACTTCTTTGCAATTGTTAGATTCATGTGCATAGCAAATCTAATTGTTATTTTATTCAATGTTTTTATATCTCTGTCACTGCCTTATTTTTTAATCTCTCGTATTAGGTGGTTGAAAATTGGTGCAAGGGATTTGAGTACGTACTACTGAGGGCAGAAGAAGTATAGTGATGTGGTGGTCTATTAATTTGAAAGAAATAGGAAGGAAAACATAAGTTATTCAATATAATAATGTAAAATAAAAGTAATGCTTTTGGCATTCAACATGTGAGTGGTGTACATTGAGTTGGTGGATTAATAATTTGAAAGGAATAGAAAGGAGATGTCGTTGGCATTTTATAGCATTGTTGATGTCATTCAAAAATATCTGTATACAATAAAATCATTGCCAGTTTTAGCATTTTACATGAAAAAAAGACAATACATAACATGGGCGCCAGAATATTTGGGATAATGAAGTTGTTTTTACTACCATTGGTGCTGATGTAAACTCAATCTATTTCCTTTTTTTTTGTCACATTGTTATTTTTTAACTAATTATCTCTATTATTTTGATTGAACTGTACAAAATGCATTTCCACGCTCATTGCAAGCAGGAATTTAAAATTTATGATCATGATTTTCTGCATTGTTGACTTATGCTGATCATGCAAATTCACCTATTGTAGCTTGTGTAGTAAGTGAAATTTATCCATTTCCAGAAATTTTTTAATTATATTGCAACTGATTATCATCTCAATATATGATTTCTGGTACTGTAAGTGTTTGTTAAAACAAAAAGAAGGTTGCCATCTTGGTGCCAAGAATGATATATCTAGTATTTTACTTTGCATGAACAGAACCTTGTCATGCTTGAACTCAAGCTCGTACAATACATGGGTTATTATAATCTGGCTCAAGCTTGTGGTCCTCGTCGCTGGATAAGCCAGACTCGCAAGCTCCATTAATTTTTGAGATTGAGTGGGCTCGCAAGCCGGCTCAGCTCAATCAAGCGCATGTATCTATTTTCTCCGCAACATAAGCCCACCCCCCCTCCCAATCTCTACCTTGCAGTTTTCTGAATGTTTCATCAAATATGCTCACTTTATTCAATTTTGTACTCTGTGCAATCTTATATTTGATTTGCTTTGCTTTTTCCATTGCTTATTGCTTTGTTATGAATCACTGGCCTGTTGTTCACCATACTTCGCTTCTGGTGATCAGATGTGTTTTTTTTTATATTTTTTTCCTTTGCTTTAAACACTATACTTTGTTTCTTTTGTTACATTAGCTTGTTTGTATATCATCATGATATGCTTTGCTTTCTACTCTCTATTTTTTATGTAATGAACCCCTATTGCACCTCTACTTGCAGTATTTTTCTTTGATAAAATTGAATCAAAGTTCTTAATATTTTGATCATGCAGTACGACTTATTCTTCAGTCTAAGTGAGATATTGAATGCATCTAACCCTCCCTTAACTTAATATTTGTTTATTTGACAGAAAAACTCCTTGTTTTGCTAAGAGATGGAAGAAAACTGTTGGGTATTCTTCGATCTTTTGATCAATTCGGTATGTATTGAAAGTTAGTTTTTTTTATTGTAATTATCTATATTTGGGAATCTGTACCTTTTTCATATTACATTACAAATTCCCAATTTTCTTTTGCAAAGCAAATGCTGTTCTTGAAGGGGCTTGTGAGCGAGTAATTGTTGGAGATCTCTATTGTGATATCACCCTGGGTCTGTATGTAATCCGCGGAGAGAATGTAGTCTTGATTGGAGAGCTGGTACTGCCTTATGTGTCTTACCTGAAGGTCATTTTTGCAGTAATGTGCTTCGGTTGTACTTAACCATAAATACGGTAAACTTGGATTTGAAATTGACAGGACCTTGAGAGGGATGAGCTCCCTTCACATATGGTAAATGTTTCGCCGGCAGAGATAAGAAAGGTAAGTATCATTACATTTTTTTATTCTAGCCAAATTTGAGTTTAAATGAGTTACAGTGAAGATGCTGGGCTTCTCTCATATTTTTTGTGCTATATGTCATCGGCAAAAGTGTAAAAACGTAAAATAGTCCTCCGACTATTAAGAAATGTCGAATTTAGTCCAAAAAATTTAGAATGCTCCAATTTAGCCTCAGACTATTAAAAATTATTCCAAATTAGGCACACACACATATATATATAGTATATATATAGATAAAGGGACTTACCATCAATGACATAATTTTATCATTCACATACATAATCTTTTAAACATAAAATAATATTAAAATAAAAAAATTGATTTGTAATTGGGCAATTCATATAATTTAAAATTGAGTGAGCTCTTATTGCATAATTATTTATTATTTTTAATTTTTTCATTAGTAAAAGTGATGGCCGTTGTGAAGAGATTTATCAATGCAAATTAAAAATTATAATTTTTCAACAATAAATAAAAAGAGATTTATATAGAAACCACGTTAATTTTTAATAATTTCATAAAAGACAAAAAGATTTCCTTCAATTCATGCAGACCACTGTTAAATTTAACGAAAAATATGATTTAGAACCAATTTGGAGCAAATTTTAACAGTCTGGACTAAATTGGGTATTCTAAAACTCCTAAATTGAGCATTTTTTAATAGTTGGGGACTATTTTGGCCTTTTACTTTGCAATATTTCTACCCAGCAATCTATTTATGATAATTGAATCTTAATTGTTTTTTTTTAACAATTAAGCCTTAGTCGATTATCATCAAGTCTTGTTAAATAAGCATTTTGAAGAGGTAGTTTGAGTTCCAAAGAGTAAAAGAGGGTCAGCTAAATATTGAATGAGATGGACATGGTATATTGAAAAGCTGTGCTCATAATACGCGTTTATCTATTCAAAATTTCATTTAATCGCTCTGCCTACACTATGGAACTCAAATTTCCAATTCATATGCATGTTTATAGATGTAAATGAACATCTGTTATGAAAAGGATTAAGGAAATAAATGACATTTGCTCTTATTCATCTTTGTTTTTCATTTTTTTTCCATTGTTTAGACTCAAGACAACTATTCTACTCCCCAACTAGTGTACCGTCTCTGGATCCTATATAGCATGGCCAATTATATAACATCACTTTTTTGATAAAATTTTCTTTTCAGGCCCAAAAAGCTGAAAGGGATGCCACAGACCTAAAAGGCTCCATGCGAAAGCGAATGGAGTTTCTTGACCTGGAATAGGAATTGCTCATCCCATTCTGTCATTATGGTGAAAGTCCAAAATCATAGTTTCCGCACATTTTATCGCGGTTTTCTGGTAATTAGCCTTTTTAGGCTTTTCTCTTCTTCCACAGTGCAGAAGAACAAAAAGAAAAAAAAAACAAAACTTTCACAGGATTTGTTCCTTTATTATAAACTTTGTACTTGTCAATTAACCATTCATAAGTTTATGTGACTTATATGTTGATTGGTGGGTGTCAGACTCATCTCTTGTGGTTACTGTAACGGAGTTCAATGTGTTCTTAAGTAATTTCAGGTTTCTAACCTGCTATTCTTTTAATTGTGCTGTGGCACATTTAAGCTTCACAATGTTTAATTAGTATTTCTCATGGCTGATTTTTTTGCTGACACGATTCTGTTATAATTATTAGTGGTGGTGGTTGATTTGTGTTAGGAAGGGATCATGCTCAAATTGCCTGTTTAAGCTTTGATTTGGCTAGATTATGTCTCCTTTTGCTATAAAGTTATTTAAGGGAAGTTGCATTATGAAGAAAATGCTTGTTACAAAGCATAGAAAGGTTATTGCTATTGATAAAACTTAAAATAGAAGGAATTTGTTTGCCAAATAATGATTTTATTTTATGTAAGCATAGAAATTTCATTGCACGTATGAAATAATAAGAATTAGTTGCACTCTAGTGTAGGTATAGAGAGCATTCTTTGTAATTTTATTACCAATTCAGACAGCCCAACTGAAAATCAAATAATTTTAATCACATAAGAGTATTCTTCTCGCACATTTTATTTGGATTATTCAAATATAATGCTGTATTCAGTATGCGCATTATTCAATAACTATTTTCAAAGAAAAGGCTTTGCAGAATATCTATATGACTGTAAAGTTTAATGAAATTTGCGTACGCTCATGCTAACTTTCTTTGACTAAACAAAATAATTTGAAAGCATTTTGTTCCAGTTCATTCAGAATAGTATGGCAATGTGGGTATTAAAGCGAACAGTAAAATAAAATTTAGATTTTGCTCATCAAGCTGGTCGAAATGGATTGGACCGGTTCAATGGACCTACTACTGCGTCCTACTTTTTAATTCATATTGCTTAAAGCACAGACAATCTATGCATGCAGTCTTCACCTTCTTCATTAGTAGGGGGATTGTTTTCAGAACCTTACCCCCCTTACAGCCTAGCGACTATTGTTTTGGTGCTTTACATTTTAAAATTGTTGTGGATCCCGCAGGACTAATTTGTGAATTGTTAGCAGCGTTTGGTTGCTCTCAGCAACAAACATTTTGATTTGATGATCTTGACATTGGTGTGAATCCAGCAGGACTAATTTGTGAATGGTTAGTAGCGTTTGGTTGCTCCCAGCAACAAACATTTTGATTTTAAGATTTTAGACTGCCAACTTAAATTTTTTTGCTAGACCATATTCGGGTCGATAAACTTTATTGGAATTGTTCTGCACAATTTGTTATTCAATTTTTTTATCAAACTCAATTGGATTTGACATCGAGAGTGTCTAAATGTTATATTTTGTTCATCATTTAAGGATTTCATTGTCCAACGACATCTATTGCATCGTTGGTTGGCTGCTTCGGCTGATTGCAGTTGGATGGCCAAAATCTATAGGAGCGAGATCATTCAATTTCTTTTATGTTTAGATGAGTGTGATGGATGCATCCATTGATATTCAGAGAGTGGTATGATTTTTCATTATACTTTTAGATAAAAATTACAATTTATCCCTCAAACTCTGACATTGTTTCAACTCATTTGGTGTATCTTTAACTTTTAGATCATACAAAGTTCAAGGATTTCACCAACACCTAAATGAGTAGTTTACACCCCTACTATTGCATCAATAGCAGACCTTTTTTTTCAATCATTGGTTGGCTGCTTCGGCTGATTGCAGTTGGATTGGTTGACCAAAATCTATAGGAGCGAGATCATTCAATTTCTTTTATGTTTAGATGAGTGTGATGGATGCATCCATTGATATTCAGAGAGTGGTATGATTTTTCATTATACTTTTAGATAAAAATTACAATTTATCCCTCAAACTCTGACATTGTTTCAACTCATTTGGTGTATCTTTAACTTTTAGATCATACAAAGTTCAAGGATTTCACCAACACCTAAATGACTCCAATCAATTGCCTTATTGCTTGTTTGCTTAATCAACTCCCTTCATTTAAGAGAATTTATATCCTTACTGCATGAAGTTGTAAGATTTTTTCTAAATTCTCTAGCATTTGATTACCATCCTCACACAGACAGTTACACCATTAGATTAAGACAAATTATCCTAATTATCTTCATTTGGTCATTTTAGGATTTTCAAAGTTATTTACATAATTAATTTTGTATTGTTTGGTTGCTTGAATGTGTAGCACATTATTTGAAAACAAATTAAAGAATTCCAAAGTGTTGGTTTCGTGTGTTCTCCTTTCTTGAAACTTTGGGTTGTCAGGATTCCTCTTATTTTAGAACAATTGAACAAAGTATTTCCATTCATTTGGTAACTCTTGCTCAACTAGTTTTGTTTCCCTATAAAGAACAGTCTATGGTTCGATTATCTTATTACTCAATCAGCCGGGTACAACAGACTTTGGTTCTATAAGACTCGTTCGTCCGACTATGCTAAGTTGGGGCTACCAATCGGTTTTTGATGATCTTCGATCGTCAAGACTTTACTTAATCGGATAGAGTCTACTGGTCGACATCTCTGGTCAGGTTGTCGATTATCGACTACTAGATGAGGAGTTTTTGTAGTTGGGATGAGATTACTGGTCAACTTCTCTGGTCCAGTATGAGCCATAAGTTCGTATGAGCTAATAGTATTCAAGTTCGTTATATGCGTGTCCAAGTATTAATATTTTCATATATAAGATGGATTAGCAATACATGTAATAATGATCTTGAAAAATAGCTATAAAAAACAAAGGAAGCTTATGGTATGAGTAATTTAAGTTAGCCCATAAAGATCTTGAGATAGGCATCTGAAGATCCTATAGATATCTTTTTATTTGATTCATTTGTTATGATATTTTTAGGTGTTGAGATTGCTAAGTTGACTTGCACACACATCTATACATGAAGGTAAATTGAGTATAGATAAAATTAAATGGAAACTAATTAAAATTGATTCATAATTGATCATATAGTATGAACATGGATCATGTTATACGATCACCTATAAATTTTACTAATCAAAGTTTGAATCCGATTATGTCTTCGGATTGCACTGAATGGTTTGTTTCAAGTTGAATATGGTGAAAAGTGATTTTAATATCATACTACATAATATGTATCATGCTATATGATCAATCTTAATATGGTATGATTTTTTGGATAAATTTGTATTAATTAAGGTGAGTTAGAAAGTAAACAAATACCATATGTATATCATATTGAATGGCAAGCTTGATTATCTTAATCTAATCCATAATTTTTTTTTTGTTCCTTAATTATGAAATTTAAAAGTTGAACACAATGATAAATGATGTGTATCAAGCCGTAAGATTTGTCTGTGAAAAGGAATTGATTCCTTGGCTTACAGTAGCAAAAGTAGAGTGTCTTGAAGAGAAAAAAATATTGCACAAGGAGTTTTGATGCAAAGCTGCATTAGAACTTCAATCAGGGCCTATCAAGTGTACAGACAAACCCACTTTATTAGAAAAAAATAATAATAATTTATTACATTGGTGGGCATGTCTGTATATGTGGCAGACTCTGATTGGAGTTCTGATAGCAAAACTACATCAGGACTCCTAATGCAATATTTTTTTTCTTGAAGAAGACACAAGGACCTGATGTATGTTATTATCGTTGAACTGCTGTACATCATCTCACACTTCCTTTCTTTGTGTACATTTACTTTTGTTACATCTTTTACCTATTTCCAATGCTTTGAGATATATGAAAAATTATATATGTAACTTGTGCTTGTCAATTATATGGGATTTTAAAAAGGTTTTTGAGACACAGACTTAAAAATGTTTTGGTAAATTTGAACAATATTTAAGAAATAAAAAATTCAATCTCGATGGGTTTTCAATTTCAACAAAAAAAAAGTTATAAATATATATATATATATATATATATATTGA